AACTCTGGTTCGTTTAAAGCGGAGCAAATTATCAGGTCTGAATACGACCTAAGTTTATTCATGCTCGTGTTTGTAGTTGTTTTTGCTGCCCCCTAGAGTCCAAACAATAAACTGACCTCACCTGTTGCAGTTMTTGCATTAATTCCACAGCAGTGTTTTGTGAAGTAAGTTGGCAGCTGTGGATGTGATTTTAATTTGATTGCCAAACTACCTGCTGCAGRAGAGCTCACTTGCAGACCCTCTCAATACTGCTTCAACGATTTACAGAACTTCCCGTGAAAACCTGCATCCCACACGATGGCGTTYGCACATCAACACTGATAGACTCCCCTGCTGACAGTAAAAAAAATWAAAAAATTCTCTCCCGCAAGTCTCTGCCTCCCCGTCTTTGTGCTTTCACACTGCTGGCCCACCTCACCCATCAAGTCTACACCTGAATGACTTTTTTTTCAGCTCACGTCGGGTTTTGTCCACACGACCACATGAACGAGTGAAACAGAACTACAAGATGTTACGTTTTTAGCAACTCCAAAGGAACTATTTTACTGCTTCTGCTCTTAGAGCCAAACTGCTGGGTCCTTAATTATGCACACTATCGCACCATTACCAGAACGATTCATGCCGTTTACGCCATCTAACAAGCTCCCCCGGCTCATTCTACTGCGTGCACATTGCACAATCTCAAAGGGCCAAAGTGTATCTCATCTCTGCTACGTCAGCAGCAGCCAAACTTCTTGTTTATCTACTGAGCGCAGCACATCTTCAGGACTTACTCATCCATCCTGGCCATCTCTTTCACCGCCTCCACTCCTCCAGGCAGAGGCTCCAGGTCTATGAAGAAGCCTTTGGACTCCCAGATACTGATGGCTTTCTCCTGSCGTTGAAACACAAACACACACATGTAGGTTACAACCAACAGAAGAAAACTGTGTTTCTGCTAAGCTGACTTAAGTGAAAAACTGTCTGCTCACAACTGTTTAGTTACATCTATAAAAATTGTTAATATTAATAGTTTGAGAGGCAAAATAGTACTTTGGCACAAAGRTGATCCTCAAAGAGCTGTTAGTGGGAAAAGATGTCTACAGACGTGAATGTGAAGGTTATTGAARCACGTTAAAACTGTCAGCGTCACATGTTCCCTTTCGGATCTCCAAGTTTCCACTTTCAGGCTGATGAGGTGTCTTAATATTTTTGTCACAATCAGTAAAAACATAACTGAGTTTCAACTTTATCAATTTACTGATGGTTTATCGTCTTAACAGAGCTTTAAAACATAGACAAATATTGACGGATAATATTGAAGGAATAATTCAGCTGACATCTCTGTTTTCCTTTTACTTCAGCTCCTTAATTTACTTGGCAAGTTCCAAAAACACAAGAAGAAATGATCACTCAGGAAATCAAGTTTTTCATAATAAAAAAATTAATGTTAAACTCTTTTATATGCATGTACTTCCAATGGAAGCAATAATATGCAGAACCCTGCACAGTATGGATATGTTGCTACATGCTATGTGCACCTGTATGTTCACTCTGGGGTTTGGTTTGTTATTTCATGTAGGGCTGCCACGATTAGTCGACGACTAATCGATTATTAAATAATCGATGACTAATTTAATAATCGATTAATCGTTTTCTTTTTATTTTGTTCTTTACTTTGTTTTTCTCTCCAAACTGCTTTGACACCTTCCACTGCCACATCTGCCTTTCTGTCC